TGCTTGGCCAATTTAAGAATTTAATGCTCTTTTTTTATTCTTGATATTGAACATGCAATCTCCAAGACAGCATAAGAATTCATGAACAACATTTTTTGAGGTTCCGTGTTGTTGGTAATAATTAGATTAGATGTTTTGTCGTTTTTCGGCCCTTATTCACAAACATGATAAGCATGCTGGTAAGTAAAATTTTGAGGGTTATCAAGCACGCGATACAATCTGTTTGAGGTTAAAAAATACCTAAAATTCAGTAAACGCTGTTTTCAGTATATTGAACACTGTACTAAAAAAATCAGCGGAAACTTTGTGTTTAACTGTAATTATATTTCATTTAATTAATTAATTAATTGTTTATATTGTATATATATATATATATATATATATATATATATATATATATATATACAATTAAACAATTAATTAAATAATTAAATATATATATATATATATATATATATATATATATATATATATATTTCTTATTAGTTTAAACGTAAACTTTTAATGGATACATGTACTTAAGTAGACACCCTGTTTTTTATCAAGACAGGTACTTGCAATTCCTCATTTTTATCATTACACACCAAGCAAGGCAATAAAGTCACTAAGACACAAGAGGTTACTGAGTTTGATTGAATATGTCTAAAACCAAACATAAGCAGAGAACAATAAAAGAACAGCAATTAAGAAGACAGAAGATAATGATAGACAATGCTTTTAAATTTTTAAATCAATGTTGAAAGTAAAGCAAGAAGCACGAGATATGAGAGAGAAGTAACTGTTAGCATAGAACTTACGCTTCCATCGAGCCATTTCCACTGTAAAATAGTGAGACAAATTAAAAAAAAACAGTGCGTTTACCACATATAAATATTTCTTTTGAAAAGTTTTAATTTTAATTATCACAATAAGACGCCACAGAAAATAAAGGATTACTTTTATTGAAAAAAAAATACTTCGTGAAGAATGGTGAAAATAGTCGGGAGCATTAGAAGTAATATCAAGAAATACCGCCATTCATCATTTTTACTCCATATTATCAACTGTGCTATTTTAGATCTTGTATCAATATAGTTTTAGTTATAATAATATCTCATAGTCCGAACTTCTTCATCTAAAATAGTATGTTACACCGAGAATAAGATTTTATTAAAAATAACTTAAAGTAACATTTAAAAATAATTACGTACACTGCTGAAACATGAAACTAAACTTTGAAGATATTGTTTTTTAAAGTAACGTACACATTGGTTAAATGACTACAACGCTTTCACGTTGGTTAACATACCATTTATCAAACATTAAAGGCAAAAAAGATCATATTAATCAACCCAGTATACAAGTCCTTAGAATAACTATAAAATTAGGATGAAACAATTATTATTCTAAATTGAATAATGGTAATTAGTGCTTCATCTAATAATATGATCCAACATGGATAGATAATTTTAAAAATATGCCTGAATTTGAAGTTTCATCAAAAAACATCGAACTCAGAATTCTTGGATGACGACTTCAGCATGCTTTCTTGTGGGAATATATTGTCTCTCACATGATCAATATCTATTGTTCCTATTTTGAACTTTTCAACATGAACGATAACTCATACGGAATATATAGCCATGATACTAATGATAAGAACAAAAAGATTAATGTCCTTCTCTAAGATATAACAATCAGTATACAATGTTACTGAAGATGAGAGAACATGTTAGTTCATGACCTCAAATCGAAACAGATTTGATGATGATGATGATGATGATGATATCCTTTGTTTGCCGTGTTGGATAAAATAGAGCTTTTGATCCGTGGACAGAGTCAGATCGGATCAGTTTCAGAGAAAGCTGGCAAAATATTGTCGAATCAGTATACATTGTCACTGAAGCAAAGTATAAGGTTTATTAGCGGAATGTATTTTTTGAAAAAAGGCAAATTAAATTTAGCTCGAACATAAATTCGACGAAAATCAAAGTGGCTACCTTAACTCGTCGACTAGAGAATAACTCATTCGAAATATATAACCATGATACTAATGGTAAGAACACAAAGAGAGTTGGATTAATATCTTTTCTCTAATATATGACTTCAAAATTAGAACAATAACTTCCGTTTCTGTATATTTTCTCTAGGTTAAAAGAAAATAAATGAAATTAGGGATATTAGCTATTTCGACGGACACTACACAAAAAGATATTTTATTAATTTTTTGGCTGCTGTGTTCTTTTTCTTTTATTTCTTTTACTATATTATTATTCTTAGTATTTATCATAGATATGACACAAAAACATGCACTTATAGAGCAACATTAAACACTAAGTGGATCCACTTTTGTTCTAAGAGGCTTCTTCACAGATACAGGCTGTAGTTATGACGATTTCTGGATCGGGTTAGTTTCCATTTTCGATTAACATTACGTAAGTCCCAGTGAAGTATTCAATCGGCTTCAGGCCATTCACACATACACACACACCCTCACTCGCTCTCTGTCACACACAAACACGCACATATAATCTTTTCAAGAAACTAATGGAATAGATAAGAAGATGGACTTATTCGTCCCTCATTTCATTTTACTTAAAGCTCAAATACAAATCCCAAAAAGATTCTATTTCGGAAACATCGGCCTCTTCAGGAAAACTTGTTCATTTTTTATTTATTTTTTTTTTTTTTTGTCCATTTTAATATTTTTTTTTTCCTTCTGAGTCCAGGAAAATCCAGTCTGTCATCATTGTGGACTTTGTCTGGTCATATGTTACTCGTACGCACGGTAAAGAGGCCACTTAAAATAGGGATGCTCTTAATAATTGCCAATTAGACATGATTACGATATAACCAACCAAATGGCCAAGAAATCTCAACAATTTCTTGATCAATCGGGTACTTTCATCTTGTTTAGTAGCATCACTAGTAGGATGTTTAGTGCGTAATTGGTTGGGTTGCTGAAATTGTCAATTTTGTATTCTTCCTAGTTTTATCATTATTATTTTATAATATTTTGATCTTCTTGTCATCCACTGTTCCATGTGACCTTGAGGATACACGGCACAGTGGATAAAGCCAGTGATCTACCAGTGATGCTTTTATCATGATTCCTCAAGAACACATGGCACAGTGGATAAAGGCATTAGTTAGATCCAGTGATAAGAACCAAAGAGTGTGAGTTCAATACCAGGTTAAGGCAGTGGAGAACTTGGAGAGGTAAATTAACAGGACAAAACTGATAACTGACATCAATTAAACATGGCACGGGGAACTAGAACAGTCTACACCAGCGAGCGAAATAAAGGGTTCAGTTCGATATTCCAACCACCTTAAGAAGGTCGAAACGTCATAATAAATATGGCGAGAAAGATGAGGACAATAGTCCGAATAATGTAAATAGTGTACATAATACCTCATCTCAGGAATATAGACAGATACTTAAAATACTTTGCTAAGATTGTGAAAGACGTTTCACTATTCCTATGGGCACTCAAATTTTGTCATATTAACCATCCTCTGTTAAAACTCTTCCCAGATATTTCAATTTTTGTACATCATTAATTGTGGCTTATCCAAATTCTTATTTCGTCTTAGACTGTTCCTACTTATTGACATTCATACATTCTGTCATCTTACAATTGATAGTTAGTCCCTTCTTCTCACTTTCTCTAAGAGTTCTTGCAATACCCTTTGGTTTGCTATCAATACATTGTCTAGCTGCTTTTTATTTGAAATGTTCAATGTAGAATGTGCCATGTATGGACATCAACTCATGTCCAATACTTATTAATTAACAATAAGATATCCAATATCAGCCAACATAAGGGACACCTGACGAAATCCAGACGGTATTTAGCCGAAACCCTGTGTCTATAATAGCATATGTAATAAGCAAGATAAAAGGCAATTGTTCGTAGGTTATGTCGCTGCGTAAAACAAATGGTTTTATATTGTTAGGCTACGGACATATTGATGCATTTGGATATGATTTTCTTATCCGTCTGCACGTTGTTTACCTTTAGGAAATCTTGGCCTTTGTTTCTCAGGAGTCCTTACTGTTTTTCCTGGATTCTGAGCTCATTTATTCTACATTCTCGCGTAAATATTATTTTTCTTTTGCTAATCCAGTCAAAGTGAAAATGAATTTAACGCGAACCAAAACTGAGCCTCCCTATAGATCCCAGGTTAATATACACCAGCACACGGATATACTCTATGTCCGGTTTTGTTGTCACTTAGCCTCCAAAATCCCCCATCTATTGATCTACTCTTCCGTTTCCCTTCGCTCAAATCGAATGCCTCTTAGAAGAACAGATTTAATAAACATCCTCTTGCCATAAGACAAAAATACTAAAGATCAAAATAAAATTTCACCTTCACTTTTCTATGGGTGACCATAGTACCACAAGGTTTGGGGAATTATTTCTATAGTTGTATGCTTCCAAGATACTATGTTAGCAAGGTCTGTCTGCCAAATCTTCTTTTGATATCGATAGATAAATCGATACGGACAGACACAGAGGAATAGATCGTAATAGATAACACTGACAAGCAATGTAGCGTGACATATTCATCCATATATAAAGAATATATCTCAATATATTAATCGTTATGTGTGTGCGCGTTTAAGCATTGTGAAATAGTGGTAAAATTATCCTTTATGAATATTCCATATCATCTCTTTATCTGTTGCTATATTTCCCAATGGAAAAGTCCGCTGAACAAAACCCGACTTTATGTAAATGTATTTTAACATTTATTTGATTGCCGGGAACTACTATCAACTTATTTTCAAACTGAATTGCTATTCATTTGCGTCAGAGGCGTTGGTCGACTGATTTTTCAAACAGTGAACTTTTCCTTTGTGTTTCTTTTAGATAAAGAATTAATAATAATAATAATAATAATAATAATAATAATAATAATAGACTTCGTTAGCAAAGAAATATGATTAAAAAAAGACACACAGAAAAAACAGAAAAGTAATTATAATTTAATGTAAGTAGTCCCTGATTAGTTTGCGGCCATATCACATTGAAGCAGCCGTTCTCGTCAGATCACTGATGTTAAGCAACGCTGAGCCGGGTTAGTTGTTGAATGGGAGACCGATGGGGAACACCAGTTGGTCCGAACTACATGACAGGCCTGGCAACCCGTCGATACGTACGATCACACTATTTATAGTAACAGTAGAAGTGATTTTGGACAAACAGGATACAAGTACGGATGATTGAGTTCTTCTTAAATTATTGGGTTCTGCTTTTCAATCAGATAACATTGTAATAAGAAACAGCTTTAAAAAGAGAATATTAACTGTTTACGCACCAGGACATTACATAAGAAATAAACTGTTTAATATTATAATGAAAGTAGTGCCCATAATATCTGTCACACTTGAATCCCAAAGACACATTTATAGGTTTGAACATGTTTGACATTTAGCTACAACAATTAAAAATGCCCAGTCGTGATGATGATGTCGTGCTAAAACAAGAAACATGAGTATCTGTCTATATTTCTGAGATGAGGTATTATGTACACTACTTACATTATTCGGATTATTGTCCTCATCTTTGTCGCCATACTTATTACAACGTTTCGGCCTTTCCGTAGCTGTCTATATTTCTGAGATGAGGTATTATGTACACTATTTACATTATTCGGACTTGAGAACACATGGCACAATTGATAAAGCCAGTGATCTGCCAGTGATGCCTTTATCATTATTTCTCAAGGACACATGACACAGTGGATAAATGCGTCAGTTAGATTCAGTGACAGGACCCAACGAGTTGTGAGTTCAATACCTGTTTAAGGTAGTGGAGAACTTGGAGAGGGGAATTAACAGGAGATAACTGATAACTGACATCCATTTGACATGGCACGTGGAACTAGAACAGTCTACCCCAGCGACCGAAACAAAGGGTTCAGTTCGACATTCCAACTACCCGAAGAAGGCTGGAGCGTACAACGGCAGAAACTTTGTGATAAATATGGCAACAAAGATGAGGACAATAGTCCTAATAATGGAGATAATGTAAGAAACAGTAGATTCAACCTAACAAGTCTTGAATGTTTGAAACATGTCCTCAGATGTTGTTTGAGAGGCGGTCTGACATTAATCTTATGAGTAGGTCAAAAACATCATGATGAAAACTGAAGTGTCATATATATATATATATATATATATATATATATATATAACTTCCTTTTAAGATGACAGCTATCGAATGATGACGTGCAAGTCTGCCTATTGTACCAAACAATTATTAGTTTGTAAATACCAAGAGCACTAAATGGACAGTGATAGTTAACCTGTTAATCTTGAAGACAGTAATAATCACATACTATTAGTAAATATCTATACAGATAACACTACTTTTTACGGGTGCACCGCCAAAATCCCAAATGATTAGATATTAGTAGCTGATCTCTCATCTGATTGAGCTCGAACAGCTCACGGAGAGAAAACAGGCTTATAACATGCAATACCTGCAAAATTAAATTAGGAGAGATTCGTCACCACCGAGCAGAGCCTGAATTTTCTCGGGTCATGATGATGGGTTGATGATGACGCTTCTTACCCTGAACTTCTATTGGGACTCAATTTCATCTCAAGCCTCAAGACGATCAGTCGCCAAAGATTCTGGGAAAAGGGTCAGTTCCTTGTACCGCTACAGAAAGTAACTGACTCCTGTTATGCTCTCTACTTAGAGCAATCAGATCTAACCAAAAATGAAATATCACTGTTATATCTGGGCTCGTTCGGGTTGTGGAAGAGTTATAAAAGCGTCTACACGGCCTTGTTTGTGATGAATTATTTTTAACCCTACCGTCCCTTTCGGAGATACGAAAAGTTTTAAAACTGTCGCTATTTCTATAGTAAATGTTCGGACGAGATACAATAATTAGTTCCCTAAGTTCATTCCATTTTACAGCTAAGACCCACCAGGCTACATCGAATCATTATCAATCTCTTTGTATTCTGTCGGTAAAAAAAAAAGTTTCAGTCAGAGAGCATTTTGTTGAACAGACAGTATGCTTCCCCCATCACGACAGTATTGATCCTTCAAGTATAATGTCTATACATTATCTATCCTACATATACTCATCGCCTGTATTCATTACGTCCATACAACAAGCCCTCTTACTTGAGTGTCTTTTGAGCCTTGTATTAGGTAAAAAAATTATTAAAAAATGACTGAGAAATAAGAAAGGCATCTACTCTATTAGGGTCAAATTGAATCGGTTTTCACTAAGTGCGACACTAGTAATACCACTACAAGCTTAGTACACTGGTTTATTGGTGGTTTCGCTTCCCACGATTTTAGTTTCAGTCGAGGTCATACAGTTATTATGAACACTACCCTTCTAGAAATATATAACATCTGATTCACCAGGGTGACACATTGTTTTGAACTCAGAATTGTTCGTTTGCTAGACTGTTTTGCCAACTATAGTTAGAGAGTACAGTTTATTATGCTATTACACCCATATGGCCGGAAGTGGGAGAGATAAATACATTTCCCAGAGTCATTTGGGCAAAAGTGAACACTGCTTGAATTCAAACTCGTGTCGCTTTCTCGTTCCGAGCCGCTCACAATGAAACTACTTGTACATCTGTGTGTGTGTGTGTGAGAGAGAGAGAGAGAAAGAGAGAGAGAGGGTGAATGAGAGAGAGGTGGGGAGAGCGATATTCAACCACAGAAGCAAGTAATACGTAAATTTACCTTAATAATAGCCGCAAATCCCCAAAATATTGATGGTGGCAATAACGATATGTCAAAGGCGTAATTGTTACCTTTAGGTGGAAAGGTGAAAGTTGTCGACTTGATAGGGAAAAAAAAAACGCCTGATGAAATTGTTACGGCAAAAACAATTTTTTTCTCTATCGCAAAGGTATAGGGTCACATCGCGTTGAAACACCGTACGATCGCCGAAGTTAAGCAACGTCGAACCTGGGTAGTACCTAAGGTTGGTGCAATGAAAAATGGCTCGGAATTGTTAATGGAAAAACCGAGTTCCAATTCCCGTTGGGTTTGTTATATTCACTTACGTACAAATACCCCTGTCATGTCTGTTTCATGCTAGATGCAATCGTCAGGCCTGACGATTGTACCTAGCATGGAACAGACTGTCGCCTCTAAGTGTTGACTTCTATGTTCACTTTTATATTTACACATGCTCTATCTCAGATATTGAGCACTTTATCCCATAAATATAGCACATCTTAAGACTATATTTCTTCATATATATATATATATATATATATATATATATATATATATATATATATATATATTATGCTTTTAAATTCTACAGAAGGATGCTGAGAATACACTTGACCGAACATATGAAAAACGAAGAATATTTATAGAAAATGGAAACAAAAAGGACACTTATACTTAACAATAGAAAGAGACAATTGGAATTTTTCGGGCACATAATGAGGAAAGAGGGCTTGGAACTTTTGATACTCACAAGACAGAGGAAAACAGCACATAAGCTACTTGGTGGGTTTTAGCAAATGGATGACGAAAAAGGCTAAATTTATTAACAGATACAAAGGATAAGAAAATTGTGGAGAGCCATGATAGCCAACGTCCAGATACGGTACATCGAATAAGATATCTCTCCTTCTGACTTTTAGTTGTCTATATCTGCTATATTTTCATAACTGAAACGTAAACAACGTAATTTAAGTAGTTAACGGAGTTATGTTGGCAGAGCACAAAACATAATATATATATATATATATATATATATATATATATATATATATATATATATATATGTGTGTGTGTGTGTGTGTGTGTGTGTGTGTGTGTGTGTGTGTGTGCATTTGTGTTAATGCCAAAAAAAAACATCATCATATTCTTTTATGTGCCGTGTACTCTCAGGACGTAGGCGATCATGGCCCTCCACTTCCTCCTGACCCTTGTAGCTCTTAATAAGTTTTGTCTTTTTATTATTTCTTCCAAACCCTGTTCCTCCATTCATTTGATCAAGCTCAACAATTATGTCACGCGCTGCTTCCCTCTGTCCCGCTTTCCCTCAATCTGTCTTGTGAGTATCAGATTCTCCAAGCCCGCCATCCTCATTACATACCCCAGAAATTCTAACTACCGCTTCCTGGTGTTAAGTATGTTTTCTTTTTTGTTTCCATTGTTTTTGTTCACATTTTCCGTCCATGATATCCTCAGCTTCTTTGTGTAGAAACTCATTTCTGTTGCTTCAAGTCTGCCATACTGGAGGACAGATACCATCACATTGGTTATTCTAAAAGTATGATTATCGAGAAGAATAGCCCTTCATCCATTTGAACGAAGTGCCATCTTTAAACATATAACAAATATCTATGTCGACAACAGTACATTGTCTCTCTTCGATTGTTAGAAAAACGATTACCAGTAGTTGAGATCCTTTACATCAGAAGACGGTTGGCAGAAAAATATCTTTCAATTTCTGGGCGCGTCTATCGAAATTCCTTTGAAATGCCATGACATTTCTGGTGCGTGGCTCCAGAATCCGTTTCAGAGTCAAGGCAATTACGACCGACATTCGTTCCCACTTTTGGTCTGTTAACAACCCTAACCTCTGCCCTGGTTCCTTTCAGTTCTTTCTTTCAGTGAACAAAGCTAAACTTGGTAAGCAACTAAGTCTTGTAGATTATTGCTTCTGCAGTGATTTCAATCTTCACCGGGTACCTCCCAGTTGTATCCCTATGCCAGACTAAGTTAAAGCTATGGACGACGGTTACAACTAACAGTAAGATGGATGATGATCACTGGCAATTAACTTGAGAAGGATGCGCTCTAATTATAACTAATATTGCCACCACAATTATTACTACTACTGCTACGAACAGTCACAATTATAATGATGACAACTGCAATTATAATGAGGAAAAAGTTAATAAAATTAGCGTTTATTATTTTAATAATCAATAAAACGAGTCAAGAGAATAGAAGTGTTGTTTCGTCGTTAAAAACTGTCGTAAATTAAATTATTTCGCTACCTTCTATTTCAGTGACAGAATTCTCGCTTTTATTATTTTAAATCTGCCCTTAACAAAATTGTAGCGTTTCTCCTTAGCATTGTTCTTAAGAATAAGGTTATTTTAGATGCAATGCATGTCATAGAAAAATTATCAAATGGCGGTATCTGTGCGAGAAAAACTCATAATAACCCTGTCGTTATTTTTATTTCACTCCTTAATATGTTCAGCTTCTTTGTCATTTATCTACAAAGACTTTCGCTGAAGCTGACTTAAACGACCACCGTATCATTATTAGTAATAATCATAGATTGCATTCATTAACATACCGGATTCCTGGTGATTATCGCTGAGCACCAAATGACAATATGCCTTCTCAAATGTTCAGCACTTTCCTCAGTATCATTGAAGATTTCAGAAACACAGTGATCAGTACGGTCACAAGCCTTGCATCTCCAACTCATGCAATCACGTTTCCGTTGTTGTTGTTTTTTTTTTGTTGTTGTTTTTTTTTTGTTTTTTGTTTTTTTCTCATTTTGGTACCTCTCTCCTCCTTAACGGCAAGATGATCAAATTTGAAATCTATATTTTATCTTTTTTTTCTATTTAGAATTCTACATTTATTAGAAAATATATTCCCTCTAAATACAGGAATCATAAAGATGTATTCGACGAGCTGCACATTTAGGCTCATAATATTTTCCTATTATCTAGAAGATGTTCTAGACAAAACAGAATATTAGTCCCCATGACAGAGAAAACCATTTCCTTTTCAATCAAATTCTCTGGTGAGCATTTGTGTGTGTGTGCATGTATATTTTAATTATTTATATTTTTAATAATTTATATTTTAATTGAATGACAAACCTAAAACATTTCAATAAAATTTTTAAAATTTTTTTTTTTAAATAATTCTATTTATCACCGAATAATTCAAAAAGTTCTGTAGAATCTTATAATTCTCCAATTTTTAGCGTTTAATATTTTTCTTCTTCAAATTTGATTTTATTTCTCAGCTCAGGGTAGGGGCTATCCAGACTGATTGGGGGAGGAATGTATTCTTCCAATGTCTTATTTCAAACTCAATCAAATTATGTGGGTGTGTGCGCAAATGGAACTCATCCACGCACAACACAGACACCCGCATATATATTATATAAGCGCATCCAAAATCTCATGCAGACAGTGTGTAACGGACAAACAGTTTTTCATTTATGATATAGAATTTTTTTTAATTTATTTTTTTATTTTTTTAGTTTGGCTTATTTTACCTTTTTTGGTAAAGCACTAAAGGCTCTGAACAATTCTGAATTGGTTAAACATCTCACGTCACACGGCATTCATTCAGATAAGCAATATAGCTTTCACTTCTCTAGGTCAACCGCTGGTGTATTAACGGGTATATTGTCTATATATAAGGGTTATATTTGTCTATCATACTTTAGATAAAAACGGCGAGGCTCAGGCTGTGGCTTTATATATCTCGAAGGCATTTAACAGCGTTTCGCATGCTGGCCTTCATCACAAGCTATGGTGTCTCTGACAGAATATTTCATTTAATCTAATCCTTCTTAATAAATCGTCTAATGATGGTCGTGTTGAGCGGTCACGCTTCCAAATTATTTCATATTAATGTAAGAGTTCCCCAGGGATTTATCGTTGTACATACGTTGTTTCTGATCGTCATCAACGACCTTTCCGATGCCATCAACTCTTAATTCGGCATCTATGTGATGCCACAACTATTTATTCCTGTCTTAATAGTAAATTCGCTGACAGGTCCGATGCCAGGTCCGTCAATATAAAACTGGCAATTGCTCTCGAAAATGACTTTCATTCCGTTGTTAACTAAAGCAAAAAAATGGCTTGTAAATTTGGAAATTCTAAAACGCCTGCAAACGAAACGACATATCCTTTAATTACCATAGAGCACCATTTTTGCACTTCATCAGCATGGCTGGTGCTAACCTCCATGCAAGAAACTCATTGAACCTTCTTGGTCTCATGTAATCTACTGAGATAAAGTGAATCTATTATATTAAATTACTTGCTACCTCTGATACTAAGAAGGTTTGTTCACTGTATCGTGTCAGGCAATCTTTCTCATCAGAATCCATTTTTCACATTCAAACTGACAAAGAATATAAGTAGAGAATAAGTTTCTTTAAAGAACCCAATGAACACCATCTTTCTTTTCTGTGAATGATATGTTCCAAGATAAAACGAAACTTCTTAAATTTAGCACAGAAGTTAACACAAAGGTGCAGGCACTGGGTATGATATTTATGCGATAGGTCTCTTTCCCTCTCTCTCTCTCTCTCTCTCACTCTCTCTCTCTCTCCTTCTCACACATTGATTTCAAATCCCAATGTTACCTTATATTCCTCACTTTCTCTCTTAACTTCTTTTTCTTCTCTTCCTTCACTCACATTCTCTCTCTCTCTCTCTCTCTCTTTGTCATTCTCATCTTCACTTCTACTTCTTATTTCCCTACTCCCCTTTTATTACATTATCTCATTTTCTCACTTTTTCTCACTTTCTTTTTCTCTCTTTTCTTCTTTCTCTCTCTTCTTTCCTCTCTCTTCAATCTTCCTATCACGATTTTGAATATTTTTATATAAAACCTCCTTAGATTTTCTTACTATTCTCCCTTATTTCTCTAACAAGAACCTCCCCTCCCCTCTCACTCTCTCTCTTTCTCTTTCTCTCTCTTTTCCTTTCTCTGTCTTTCTCTATCTCTCTTTCTCTCTTCTCTCTCTCTCTCTCTCTCTCTTCAAGATTCGTCGACATTTCAGAAATTAGGCAGTCGAAGAGAAAATCGAACTAGTTTATTAATAGACGATTTTCCTTTTCTCGTGAAGTTGGAAAAGAAAAGAAAGAAAGAAAGAAAGAAAGAAAGAAAGAAAGAAACGGGCACGAGACGAATTCAAAACAATTTCTAGCCTTGTGACTGCTAAAACATCATATCGGCATTTCCCGAAGATAAATTGGGTTCAAGTTATAATCTACAGCAAATTCCAAAGAATCCAAAGGACATTTTGAAAACCGAACTTCAAAATAAGCGGGGATACAGCTTCTCCACATCAAAACACTGATTTTGTGAAATATTTTACCATGGCAACACCGGAAATGACAGCGAATGACGATATACTTCCAACATAAACTCAACGATGGTAGATCAGTGCGCATGTGCAAAAAAAAAAAAACAGTAGCCTTGCAATTATACTTAAATTTCTTATGCAACATTACTGTTAAGATTTCAACTGAACTCTTTGCGTTGTTTACATAAATATATTGTTTACATGTTTATCGAAACATTCTCTTTATTTTGAAAATAAAAGAATGGTTGAAAAGCAAGTTAATTCCTTAAATAATCTTGTTTATGTCACTCTACTGCATATAACCTACACCCACCACCTCCATCTCAAACACATATATGACTTAATCTATTTGCATCAACTTAAATGCGAAGGATAATATTTTAACAACAAAAACGAGGTTCGATTTCATATAAGATAAAGTTATTAAGAGGAAAAAATAGTAAACATAGATTGACGTCATCGGTTCAAAAAGTTTGGAGGATTCTTTAATTTTGGACAGAAAGTGTGGAGAGATGCCAGGTAAAATTTGGTAAATATTCCAGAGCCATAATTTTTTTATTTCATTTAAATAATCGGTGATGCTGATTAAATCAAATTCTACGATTCTGGTGCCGATTTTGGTTAAATCTTTTTTTTTTTTTCCACTACAAAATTATGAAGCGTGGAGAAATGGTTTCCGGAATTTCAAAAGAAAATCAATGATGTAGGCAACTTTTTACGCATCTGGTGGAACAAACACAATATACTTGAACCAAGAACTTTTCAGCATCCAGTAGACGTGGGTATACGCGTGCTTAGATAGATAGATAGATAGATAGATAGATAGATAGATAGTCCTGCGTATGACTACATCCAGAGCAAGGCCTCTGATCGGAAGATTGGAGGTTTTGAGGAGCGTGGTTCCACCCTGACTCGAGGTGGCAGCACTTGTTAGGTCCCCAGCCATGGATAAATAGTGACGCCCCCCCCCACCAAACAAAAACAATACTATGAAAGTATAAAAATACATTTTTATAGTAAAAATTACCAGCAATAGATTTTTTCTATAAAAAAAATGACCAACAATACATATAGTAAAATGACTAACAATATCTTTTTTAAAGCAAACTGACCAACAATACATTTTATTTTTAACTGTAGTTGAAGATATACAATTGCTTTCAAAATATATTTAGTTGAAGCCATAAAATTGTGTTGAAATTATTTAGATGTCGGCATTAAATAACCCATGTAGGTGTTGATAAACCGCCAAACAAAATCAACCAGACAACATGAAAGAACTCTTTCGTGATAATTATTCATATAATAACTTACAACTTCCTAAGTCAAACTGTATTCCAAAATACAACTTATAGCATAAAACACACATATCACCGACTCTAGTAATTATATCCAAACAAAATGTAAGGAGCTAAGTCCCTGTTTGCCGAGAGAATGAGGGCCCCGCATAGCCTCTAACAATTTTGGTTCTTGCTATTGCTGGCGGCTGTGTAATAGGAGGGTACTAAATAAGTGCAAGGTCTCTATCCCCAACTTCTTCAAATGAATTGAGGTGTTATCATCCTCTTCTGATAAAGCTGAATTCTTTTCCGATACATTCTCCTTAAACTCTATTCTTAATTCATCTGGAGTATCCCTGCTTAACTTCACACAATGAACTGAATCTCTGTTGAGTGATATGTATATAACCCCTTCTATCACCTCTAACCTTGATCTCCACAAAGTATTCCTGTAATATTTATTAAGAATTGTGATCCCAAACTGGCTCCTGTTCTCTCTAAACTGTATAATAAATGTCTCGTTGCCTCCTGCTTTCCTGCTTGCTGGAAGTTATCCTCTGTTCTTCCAGGTTTTAAGAACTCTGATGAATAATCTGAGCCTAACTGCTCGATCAATGACTGCTAAATGTTTCCTTATAGGGAAACGGCTAATATTTATATTACAATTACTAAAGCACGTCTTTCTATGTCAAAACTAACAACAGCATCTCCGCAAAGGGCTTTCGGTTTATAGTTCACACCAGCATGCTTGGCTGCCATAGCACACAGGAAGCACTATTTCTGGCTATACCAGCATGACAGCTCTCATCATAATAGCTGCCTATTTGCTACTACTCGTAACAAATGTAAGCGAGTCATCAAAGAAGCTAAGTCCATGTTTGATGATTGATTGAGCCTCTAAAATTTTGACTCTCGTGACTACTGGCGTCTCTGTAACAGGACGGGTACTAAATATGTGCAAGGTCTCTATTCCCCACTAATCGAATTGAGATGTTATCATACTCTGCTGATAAAGCTGAATGCTTTGCCCGTAAATTCTCCTCAAACTCTTCCTATTGACTCATTTGGAGTATCCCTACCTAACTTTACACATAGAACAGAATCTGGTGAACCATCTGAGCCATCCAAATATCGGCCTACTAACCTTCGACCTCTTTTTGGGAAACTCCTAGAGGCCCTAATGAATGTTGAATTGGTTCATCATCTCTTATTACAAAGCCTTTCCTCAGACAAGCAATACGGCTTTCGTTTCTTCTGATCAACTGCTGATGTACAAGATCTGATATTCAGGTATTCTCCACAAGCTGAAAAGCTACGATATGAGGGCGGGTTTTTGAGCTGATTTAATCGTTCCTATCAAATCGTGAAATGAAAGTTATCCTGAACGGCCACTCGTCTACATCCTTTCGTACTCCAGGACTCCATCCTTGGTTCTACGCTGTTTTAAATCTTCATTACCGACCTTCCCGATGACATCAGCTCTTAACTTGGTATCTACGCTGACAACACTACCATTTACTTCTGCCTCGATAGTAAGGCTGATCAGACAAAGTCAAAATGGCAGCCGATGTACAAAACGACCTCAAGAGCGTGGTTAATTGGGACAAAAGGTCGTTTGTCAATTTTAAAGCCTCCAAAACTAAACCTCTCTTTATTAATCATCTGAGAAACCCCTCTCTGTCTTCTATCAGCTATTTACCTTGATAAGAAAAGTCAACAATATTATTGGTCCTGATCTGGCAACTCAGCTCGGAAGGTTGCCCCTCTATGCCTTTTCTCTTAATACCTTCATCGCAATTGTTCGGGTGAGCTCTTCGCTATGGTATATCGAGACTGTATGAATTTAAACGCAATACTAGAATGGCGTCTAGATCACAATTTACAGTTGAGCTGACTAGATGTAGCCATAAATTATATTCTAACAGATTCTTTTCTCGTATTTCTTGCTTGTGGAACTCCTTTCCGACTCCATGCTTCCAAACTAACTTCAATCTGCAAAAATTTCAATGCAATGTCCTACTGTTCTGATTACTCTTTCCTCTTTCTGTTCATTATTAATGTTTCTGACCCTAATTCCTCCACATCCTATAACAACGACGTTTTAGTAGCTTTACTGCCTTGCTTGGTGCGATATCGATTAAAAAAGAACATGTATATACATAAAATCTGAGTATGATCTACAATATATTCAATTGCGAAAACGGAATAACATATATTTTTATGTCTGCCAAGAAAATTAAATTTCGGTACTAAGTGACACATAAAGAACTGATATGCCCTTAAAAAAATCAACGAACCAACCAACCAGATAGATAGATAGATAGATAGATAGATAGATAGATAGATAGATAGAAAAATAGATATGAAAAGGACATAGATAGATAGATAGATAGATAGATAGATAGATAGATAGATAGATAGATTATTCGGACTACTGTCCTCATCTTTGTCACCATATTTATTACAACGTTTCGGCCGTTGTACGCACCGGCCTTCTTCAGGTGGTTGGAATGTCGAACTGAACCCTTTACTGTGCCATGTGTCCTCAAGTATACATGGCACAGTGAATAATAGCGTTGGTTAGATCCAGTGAGAGGACCCAAAGAGTATGAGTTCAATACCCGGTTAAGGAAGTGGAGAACTTTCAGAGGGAAATTAACAGGAGATAACTGATAACTGACATCCATTAAACATGGCACGTGGAACTAGAACAGTCTACGCCAGTGAAAGAAATAAAGGGTTCAGTTCGACATTCCAACCACCTGAAGAAGGCCGGAGCGTACAAGGCCGAAACGTTGTAATAAATGTGGCGACAAAGATGAGGACAATAGTCCGTATAATGTAAATAATGTACATAATACCTCATCTCAGAAATATAGACAGATACAGATAGATAGATAGATAGATAGATAGATAGATAGATAGATAGATAGATATTAAAAAGGCACAGGAAACTTGTTCATAACCACGTCATACTGTTACGTTTAAAAATATTATCCTCGAATCTGTGACATCCACCCCGAAATTCTTGCAGTTACTCCTTTAAAAAGTAAGTTCGGGATATAAGCATATTTTAAATGAATGGTGCAACCAACGAATATCCGGTAACAGATTTTTCCAAAGCAAAGATTGACCTTTATTTCTTTCAGCCTCGTAAAAGGTGTCACTCATCCACAAAGTAGTCTCGGGAATGAAAATCCTAAATATTATTTTCAAATATTTAAAAAAAAAAAAAAAAAAAAAAAAAATACGTATGGCTATTTTGATTTAAAACACATTTTCCCTTCAGTTGTACCAAAGTTTATTATATTCGTAAAGGCACAAACCATGAAATTTTAACGATTGATCTTATCATTCTTTGTCATTGCAGGAGCGATTCGACGTTCAGCACCTTACCCAGTTGTAGCCCTTCTAATGATAGTCATTGCAGCCATTGTAAGTATCATAGGAAACATTCGAACTGACGTGAAAACACTGATTGGAGCAGTCATTTATGTATTTTCAGGTGAGCATAAATTATTTTATCAAATGGCATCTACTCTCTTTTATCATGCACGTATCCAGCATACAGCCCGCAATATATCAATGTCCTTGATTCGTCTAGGGAAATTGTCACAAAAACAAAATCTTTAAGAAACTAGCCTCACAGAACATGAAATGAGTAATGAGTTCGATAGACAATGAGAACTCCTCTGCAATGGCCTTATGACAGACTAACCTTAACCAGTCTTGATAATGTTGAAAATAGTTTACACGATCTTGTGGGGGAAGAGAAAATTTTCCACTCAGCAACCTCTTTCCCCACAGATGAAAAGATGCAAACTTGTCACTGTTCTATGACTATTTCTATGACACGGGCGAACTGCTTCTAATTGTTCAGACATTTACAACTAAGACACGTCATGCTACTTACACAGTGTCGAATCATCCACATTTCACCCGTATTCCAAATGTAAAAAACAAAGGTTCATTCTGCTTTCCCCCACAAGAACTACCTTATTGTTGAACAGATTTTATTAACCTCTAAAACTAAAGGGTCAATCGTTTTCTATCTTCCTTATCCTTATGACATTCATCTCCTACCACCTCTTCTTCAACCCATATCACATCCCATTCATCATAATTATTATAACAGTAATTCTCTACCTTGAGTGATTCGCGTGCCTTGTATAGAGGAAGTTTAATATAAGAACAATTTTCAAAATTTACTAAAAGGTTGCGTTGGTTTCATATTTATCACCAGTGACACAGTTCGATATACAATGCTTTTCATTCTACTTTTCCCCAAGAACTACACTTTTGTGATACAGACTCCCGCAGAGTTACTTACTTGATCACTTCAAGAGCCAATCGTTATCTATCCTCATAATTTTCACTTCTTACCGCATTCACTCCCATTCATATCCTGCACTTTGTTCATCATTACCATTTCAATTCTAAGCCTCTACCTTCAGTGGCTCGTGTGCCTTTTGTTTTCTATTACGTTAATACAGGAACCTAAGCTTCTTTACTATTTACTTTGATATTTCCAAACTTAGGTTGAGTACGTTACAAACTTACATTAGTGTAAATGTGGATGCAAGAAGAGCTGATGCGCCAGGCTTCAACAGGGATGCCAGGGTTATGCCTGCATGAAATATTCCTGTTAACTCTGCATATGACAAGTTTAGAACATTTACAATCTGCACAAGTCATGCCACTTCCAAGGAGCCGAATCACCACCGTTTCTTAATTATTCGAAATTTAATTCCAGCCTGGGAACTTTTGTTTCCAAGCGCTGCTGCTTTGTGGAACAGACTCTTACTTGTATACTTCCCTGGGGACTATAAACATAACCTTTTCAAATCAACTCTCAATCGTTATCTATCCTCTTTATCCATATAACATTCATTTCCTACTCCATCTTCATCCACCCATATCACATCCCATTCATCTTAATTATGTTAATAGTAAATCTCTACCTTGAATGACTTGCGCGCCTTAACTTTTATGTAAGAACAATTTTCAAAGTTTACTTACAGGTTGCGTTACTTGTGTATTTATTACCAGTGACACAGTTCGATATTCGATGCCCTAATTTAAAATAAAATAGGTAATCTTCCTTCACTCAGAAAATTGACGCAAGACAATCTTCCTACCAACATTCGGCCTTTTGCTGAGCTAAAATCGAAATTTTAATTAAATATTTAAATAACCGTAGTTAAGGGATGGCGCACGATACGCCGTGGAGAATTTGTAAGAAGTGAAACTTTTAATGATCAACAGCTAGAAAAATCATTGGTGATGCGTGCCAAAGCATCAAAATGATGTATTTCACGAAGAAGAAGAAGAAAAAAAGCAAATGCATGCCACATTTTGGTAATAAAATATTCGTTTTCCTCTAGAACAAAGATATTTATAATATATTCAGAACAATGATCAAAAACTCTGAGTTGAGCAGACATAAAATACAAACGATGAATGTTTAAAATATAGAAATTTGCTCGGGCATAAAATAGAATTAACGTCATTCTGGGTTGAACGAGATTGTGAATAAAACACGAACTTATTTGCCATTAGTTCGATTTCTATGTTTGTTTTACGGATTCAATTGCGTCTGCGCCACTTGAAGAGGAGTCTGTCTTTCACAGATATCCTGGCCGAAATAATTCTCTTCAAGAAACACATTTATAATTTATTTTTAAATGATGAGGAACAAGAATTAATGTACGTTTACTATCGAAAAATACATCTTGAATTTCTGTGAACAATTATCGCTACTAGCGTACGTCAAAGAACGTGAATGCTATAACAAGCACCCAAGAAAACTCGTTATTAAGCTTTGCTTAGTTTGGCAAAAGGCCACAAAAGATTAATTCCCTATTCAGTAGTAATAGTCAGTTACTAGCGCGCTAACCCATTACCTCACACCGAGGTACCTTTGGCCAAAAATATAGCCACCTAGGGGTACTGAATCCACAACTCAGTCGAATAGTTATTATATAGCTTAGTTTGGTACATGACTAAAATTATGGAGTACTAAGTCGTTTCTAATTCACTAGACATTAATAATGGTCAACACTGAGTTATCTTTGGCGAAAGAATTGTTATTTCGTAAGTGTAGCTGAGTTTGTTTTAAAGCGGAGGTGGAATATATGGGACACGTTCTGGGTTAACGAAAATGTTGTTCAATAATAATTCTTAACCAGATTAGCACGCGCTACCCGTTACCTTATGCCAAGATGAACACGTGATGTAAAGAGCTGATATTTACTAAGTATAAGTTTCTTTGAAATATCATTTCCCTTAAGGACGTGGACAACCATAGCCCCCACAGATTCCTTTTCTTGATTATCTAATTGTCGCGTCTTCTTGGGTAAAATACTCGAGTGTTTTCCCATTATGTACTCCACGGTTTGGATTTCAGATTTTCCTTCTCTTATTACTTGTCATCAAAGTCTAGAGAGTTTAGTCTATTTAACCCGTAGGTGGGGGGTTGAATTTAATAGTATGTTTTGGTCTAGGAAGGGAATTAAGGCTATTTTTCCCTCCAGGCAGAGTTTATTGGTATTGGATTGTTTGTTGTAGGCTGATGTTCTTTTCCTTATTTTCCAGGATATTTTGGTGTTATTTTTTTTCTACCAAACAAACGATGGGAACTCATTTCAGAATGCAGACACAAAAATAATTTTTTACTCCGCTACATAAAAATCGAAAACTGAAAACGAACAAGAATAAATGAAAATAAATAAAATAAAATAAACAAAAATAATTAAAATTAATTAATCCAAAGAAATAAATAAGTAACTAAACTAAGTAAATAATAAACAAATTAACAAACCACGCCCACCTAAATAACCGCCAGAATAATACAATAGGCTCCCACAATGCAATAGACTACCCATAATGCATCACTGAACTATATATATAAAAAGTCGAGCAAAACTACAATGCACATGGCCTGACGATTGCATTTAGCATGAAACAGGCTGTTACCAATGGGTGTTGACTTCAATGTCTACTTTTAGATTTGCATAGTTTCTATCCTTGATATTGAGCACTTTAACCTATAAATACAGCACACCATAAACTAAATTTTATCACATAACTAGATAGATAGATAGATAGATAGATAGATAGATAGATAGATAGATAGATAGATAGATGGAGAGAGAGAGAGACGTGTTTTCTCTTTATAAACATATTTAACAGGGTTTTTTCCATTTTGTCATTCATTAAACCATCATTATTCTCCCATCTCGAGTGTAACTACCATAGATAGATTTACAAGATTTGCAGATTAAAAAAATAGACATTTCAGTTTCTACTACCATTTTATGTTAACAATGCCAGCACATAGAACATCATCCTCTTGATTCCAGTCCCCAAAGTGTAACAATGTTTGTTTTTCGAATCAGCGGCCGCAAATTACATAAAATAATCCTTGTCCCATACATCAACTAACAATTTAACATTTTGGTATTCAGAGACAAAGGCCTCTTTTCATTACGCTATCTTGTGATCTAATATCCAATTATCAAATTAATTAGTCGCAGTAAATTAAATAAAAGTGATTGACAGAAATTTATTGCATCTTTAGTCATTAAACAACGGTGTTATTCACAGTAAATAATTTTGAAAAAAAAAAAAAGCAAACAAATTTGACCAATGTCTCTGGAGACGAAAGTGTTTTTCGTTTCGATTTTTTTCGTTTCGTTTTTTTTTTTTTTGCCTCCGCGTCCGAATAGAAAAAAAAGTTATTATGTTCAAGTTGAAAGTTTTCATGGCTCATGTAAATTGGAAATTACCTGCAAGAGAAAATAAAAACCTTCTTGAATCGAGTCATTAAAGCCTCAAGCGAAGAATCAATTGTTTTAACATTAATGTTCTTATCTCACCATCCCTTGTTAATATGTTCTGTTTGCATCTAATGTTCCGTAAAGATAGCCTTGGAACAGACTTGGTGAAGTCTTACAATAGTATGTATTATAGGGACGTTGCCGTCTTTATCTTAAAAGCTATTAACAGCAAATTGGAGCTGTATGAATATAATTTTCGGTTTGGTTTAATTTGGCACTTGGCCATAATCTGTTTACAGTACTTAATATGTCTAATTAATCACCATCTAATTACTGGCCTGATGTTAATTAACTTCGTTTAAATATCCTGATTCTTCCTGCCCTCTTGATGGAAGAAGGGACATAGTTAAAACCGACACTAATCTCTCCTGTACAGTTTCTAGATTTTTCTGCTAAAATTTATTTGTATTTTGTTGTCTAAACCTCAGAAAACAACTATCCTGTTCAAGATATCTTCTCTATTCACACAATTTGAGGTATTTGCTTCTCTGGTAGACATTTTGTAACATAACAGCGTTTTAGTTATCGGGTACCCATTCGTATTTCTTTATACACCAAAGACGTTGTAGCTGTTTGGAAGACTCGCCAAAGGCCTATATACTCGCTCATAGGCCAAAACGAAACATATTTATACTTCAAAGTTTTTCGTATAGATTCAAATAAGCTAACAGCAATAAACGTTGTGTGAGAGATTTGGTCAGAATTCATCGAAGTGAATGTTTGCCTCCAAATCTTGATGATGAAGAAGCAAGTGCCTCAGAACATGAGAGAGTAAAGTGGCTGGACTGAAGACAGAGAGAAATTTGAAGCGAATTGCAAACGAAATGCCATTGGCTGTGCAAAGGGCGAATGAATCAATGACAATAGGCAGATCCATAGGAAAGAAATGGCGGCCGTGTTGTCAGAGTCGATAAGGAAAATGACTACAATGGAAAACAGGGACATGGCTGACTGGTTAGCAAGATAAATACGTCTGGGAAGGAAAGAAGGAATGACGGTTGGAATTTGAGAGAGATCAAGAAGGAAATAATAAAAGCAGCAAGAAAGCGAGGAGGAGGGGGAACGGACGAAAAGAGGAAGAAAACAGAAAGAGAATAAAAACGAGAGAAGGAAAGGAAAGGGTGGAGAAAAAGCAAAATATGAGGTAGAAAGGAAAAGAAGAGATAAGAAATGAAAGAGAAAAGGTGAAATGAATAAAGAAAAGAGGAAAAATGAAAAGAAAATAAGTTGAAATATGTGGAATAAGAGAGAGGGAAAAAAGAAAAGAAAAGTGAGAAAGATGAATTGGTATGATAAGAGGAAAGAAAAGGGTAACTAAAGGAAGGAAGGAAGGAAGGAAGGACGGAAGGAAGGACAGAAGGAAGGAAGGAAGGAAGGAAGGAAGGAAGGAAGGACAGAAGGACGGAAGGAAGGAAGGAAGGAAGGAAGGAAGGAAGGAAGGAAGGACGGAAGGAAGGACAGAAGGAAGGAAGGAAGGAAGGAAGGAAGGAAGGAAGGAAGGAAGGACAGAAGGACGGAAGGAAGGAAGGAAGGACGGAAGGAAGGAAGGAAGGAAGGAAGGAAGGAAGGAAGGAAGGAAGGACGGAAGGAAGGAAGGAAGGAAGGAAGGAGGAAGGAAGGAAGGAAGGAAGGAAGGAAGGAAGGCAGGAAGGAAGGAAGGAAGGAAGGAAGGAATGTTATAAGAAAGAGGGTTATAAGATAACGAAATAAGGAAGAGGAAATGGCGATACACTGAAAGAAATGAAAGAAGAGGAAAAAGAAGAAGGAAGAAAAGGGAAAGAAATAAAAAGAAAAGAAATGAATGATAAAAAGAAAGAAAAACAAGAAAAGAAGAAATCTAACGTAAAGAAATTCGAGTGGGTGGAGTAGGAAACTAAATGATGCTAAGAAAGAAAAGAGGATGAAAAAAAAAAGACAAAAATACAAGAGGAGAGAAAAGACTTGCGTCATTAAATAATTATTATCTCCAAAAATATTGTTACAATCTAAAATTATTTTCTGGCTTTAAATAACCTGGAAAAATCTGTAGGAAATAAATCAATCTATCAGATATTGGCATGCGTACACATGTTTGAATAGACGCTATTTTACAAGCAGGAAAATTAATATCGATTGGCCTAGATCCTCGAAAGTTTCATAAAAGAAGATACCTCGCTGCTGGAATTTAGGCTGCATCACATATTTGTTTTGTTTTTTTGCCTTTTGTTTTGTTTTTTGGGGTTTTTTTCGGGTTTTTTTGTCACATCACCTTTTTTAGTCAGACATGCCCTTCCATTAGGCTATGGATGTCCTTACTGCAAGGCAAAAATCTACATTTCTCATTAAGTCACAAAGAACTGAACCGTGAACATTATCAAGTATATTAGAATAATCCAGAAAATATATTGGTTGATAACAAATCAATTAATAAAAAAACAATCTTTTTATTCACGAGTATCGCATTTGTGGATTCAACCAAATGTTGACCGAAAATACAAAGAAGTAAGTTTATTATCTGTCTATATTTCTGAGATGAGGTATTATGTACATTATTTACATTATTCGGACTACTGTCCACATCTTTGTCGCCATATTTATTACAACATTTCGGCCTTTCAGTATCTGCCTATATTTCTGAGATGAGGTATTATGTACATTATTTACAATATTCGGACTATTGTCCTCATCTCTGTTACCATATTTATTACAACATTTCGGCCGTTGTACGTCTTCTTCGGGTGGTTGGAATGTCAAAGAGTGTGAGTTCAATACCCGGTTAAGGCAGTGGAGAACTTGGAGAGGGGAATTAACAGGAGATAACTGATAGCAAACATCCATTAGACATGGCACGTGGAACTAGAACAGTCTACCCAGTGAGCGAAATAAAGGGTTCAATTCGACATTCCAACCACCTGAAGAAGGCCGGAGTGTACAACGGCCGAAACGTTGTAATAAATATGGCGACAAAGATGAGGACAGTAGTCCGAATAATGTAAATAATGTAAGGAAGTTTAGGAAAGAAAAAAAGCGAACCCGAAGAAAGAACTAAAAAAAGTGTAGAGTTACGAATGAAAGAAGAAAAAGTGATAAAGTCTATGAAAAATGGTAAAAATAATTTGCAAAGCATGAAATACAGAAAGAAGAAAACTATTTATAAAAACAAAGTAAAAAGAAATAATGTGTAAACAAGAAAAGAAAGATATGGTCAACAAGAATGAAGTAAAAGAAAAGAATTCAAAAGAAAAAAGAAGAAAAGAAATGGTAAACTGAAGAGAATGGTAAACGGACTAGTTTCCGGTGCTCGTTTTTTGTATATTATAGACAAAATATGATTTTAAATTGGTTTTCTGCTGGAAATATTTACAAACTAAACAAAAAGAAGGAAGACGTAAAGAAGAAAATGACAGGAAAGAAAAAATAAATGAAAAAAAAAACAAGAAAAGAAAGAATAAAAATGAAAAGAGAAATAAACAAAAGAAATGAATTGAGAAATAAACAAAAGAAAAGTGGATTTTATAATGACAGTTTGACGCGCAGACTAATGTTGTTGTTTTTTCCAAAACAACATTTTCCGAAAATGAAGCAACTAATCACATGCCTGTCAGTCTCGAAAGATATATTTAGTTCTTCAAACTGTTACTGACTTAACCAGTTCAACTGAGATACATAATGTTACGCCATGTTTTATACCATTAAACATAATGGCAATTTAAATAGCACAAAGACGTCTGTAAAAGAGGAGGGGTCGTCTCATATGAGTGTGCGTATTATGCGAAGGTATATATATATATATATATATATATATATATATATATATATATATATATATATATATATGTGTGTGTGTGTGTGTGTGTGTGTGTGTGTGTGTGTATGTATGTTAACTCTCTATATATATATATGTTAACTCTATAAACTTCTCTGTTAGATCAATGGGCCACACCTAATTACCACGCTAAGCCTCGCTCTTTTGGTTTCCGTATCAAGTCGAGTTTTACGAGGTGGTGTTACTGGCCTGGCTCCTAAGCTGTTTTTGATTCAGAGTTGGTTTCTTATACTGTTTGGCAACCAAAGCCTTACTATTAACCCTTAGCAGGTGGAGAAGGCAATGATTCATACCTTTCCGGAGGTTATTTGTGTGACAGTAAATGTAATGGTCTCCGTTGGCGCCAATCCAATTTTTGGCGCTGATAACCGATACACTAGGTGCATATTCTAAAACTGATGTCGACATGGACTTAAACCAGCAGAATTTAAAAAAAAAAAGCCCCCCAAGCGTATCCTCCTATCCTATTTGTGAATATCTCTGCTGATGATCCAACGGTATATAAGTACACCTCCAAAACCCTAGATGACCAGAACTTG